GGTGCAAGATACGAATGCTGTTCGTGGCAACTTGACTACGGGAAGAATTGTTGGTGTGTCCCCTGGCGAAGAAAGAGGAATTTGTAACATGAAGGTGAAGACATTGGTACCCCACTAGGAAAGATCCATGACGAAAATCGCAGTGCTGTACCCTTCCAAAGGATACAAAGATAAGTAAATGACTAATATTAATATAGACCTTTCCCAGGATAGGTACACTAAGCTAGACTATGCATGAAAGCGAGGCTTTGATAAGTACAAGTTTAGGCAAGCCATAATTTTTCTAAATGGCGGATCAACAAGGACTGCAAGTATGCAAGAAAGACGAATTAAAAACTTGGCTTAAAGCTCACAGACTTAAAGTTTCAGGAACAAAACAAGACTTGATCTCTCGTGTAACCAAAGCAAAACAAGTCGGCACTGAATTAATTGTGGACAATGAAATGAGAGAGAAAAACGAGCGAGAGGAAAGAATGAGTGCCAAACTTAGAACTCCTTTTGAGGATCTTCCAAATCCTAAAACACTACGCAACTGGACCTATGATCTTTTGTATCTCCCTGTAATAACTGTGAATGAGATTAAAGACTACCTAGTGTATGGAAAATGTAAATTTTACAGAAAAGAAGACACTAAGTGTTTTAAACAGCTAAAAGCTTTCAAATTTTATAAGGATGGTCATGTACAAGATATTAGGCTTAGTACTATTAACCCAACTAGTAATTATTGCTTTGTAAAAGCAAGGATTTTACCATTAAATGCGTACAGACCGTGTTTATGAGACCTGGATTTCCTTCGTTAAAGAGACAGCTAAGGTGTTATCTGCAGATTGTAACTGCACAGCAGGGTAAGCATGCATGTGTTTGTTTTCTTGCTTTACATAATATGATAATAATGTTGCATGTGAAAGCAGCTTTCATAGTTTATGAGGTAGGGGCCAAAAGGAGTTGAAGTAGAATAGATGATAGATTAGAGGGTCAACAAATTTTTAAGCCAGCAAGCTCATGTGGGGAGAGTTTATTAAAGCAGGGCATTAGAAGCTAAACAATATTTGCCTAGCTATCTAAGTCATCAAAACAAGCAAAATTGTCTAAAATAAGATTTTGCAGTGTTTGGCATTGAGAAAGGGCCTGGCCAGAATATATTGACTTTTAAAATGTGAGTTCCTGCTAGCCTGCATAAATCACCTTTTATATGTTTTGTCTGGTTACTTAACTTTAGGCCTTGAAAGTGAAATTTTAGGCAATTATTGTAATTTAATATAAGTGAACAAAAATAGTTAGAATCATATTATTTTTAGTAATTATATTGCCATGCATTATTTTTGATTAATTTTGCTTCTGTTTCCAGGTTAGGTGAAGCATGCAATCATGTAGCAGCATTACTGTTTGCCGTTGAGGATTATGTCAAGACCTATAATCAACCATCTTCAACTAGCACTTCATGTACATCTAAGCCCTGTGAGTGGAACAAACCGTGCAGCAGAAAACTCAGTCCCAAGCAAATAAGTCAAATGAGGCCAGTTAAACATCAGTATAGGAAAAAGCCAAGCCTACCAGCAGTACCTAGTTTTGGGGAGTACAATGCCTGCTCAGTACAGCAGAACTCCTTTTTTTATAATCTCACCAAAAGCCTGAAAACTGTAAATCCACACAGTGTCCTTTTCACTATTATTGAAAAAGAGGAGAAAGAAAATATTGAAATGTCTGATGACATTCCTTATGAAAACAATGTTGCTGCTTATGAAGAAGTCTCAACAACTGAACTAACTCCAGAGGTTTTAATATCACCCCACACCAGGCCCCACTGGTATTCCAAGTATCCATATGTCAACAGTTAGGACAACCAGCAGTCCTGTCCAGAGCCCTTTGAAAAATGCAACACGATCCCCACTCCAATCTTTTGCAACCAAATAATTTAAATGCTGGTGCACCAATGCCAATGGTAACCAATGGTTAATGATGACATCAGGGAAATGGAAATCCCAGGAGAGATATCTGAAAATGCCCGACAGTTTTTTAATGATTTAGTAAAGGTAGAGCTTAAAGAAGCATTCAAAATTGAATCTTCTACTCGAAACCAGTCCAAAGGTGTTGAGTGGTTCAACCATAGACAGTATCGACTGACTGCTTCCAATTTTGGAAAAGTGCTTAAAGGAAAAAAGGAAGACTGCTCAAAACTTGTCAATGCAATAACCACTGCTGGCACTAAGAATCTAAATCATGTTAGCCCACTTAGATATGGTTGTGAGAATGAGGATCCTGTAGCTAAATACTATGTGCAATACCAAGAGAGACATGGTCATACTGGAATTCAGATATTTCCTTGTGGATTAGTTGTTGACCCAAAATACAGTTGGCTCGGTGCTTCTCCTGACAGGATTGTCTTTGATCCCACCAATAATCCACCTTATGGCTGTCTTGAGGTAAAGTGCATAGAGAGTGGAAAGGGGATGACACCGCTACAAACCTACAATGCCAAAAGGAGCCCAGTTCAGGCAAGAAAAAGCCTTTTTGCCTAATCAAACAGGGAGAAATCCTGTTGTTACTCAATCACGATCACTGCTATTACCACCAAGAGCAAGGCCAATGTGCAGTATCAGGTCTAAAATGGGGTGATTTTGTACTGATGACTGATTTAGACTTAGGAGATGAAGGAATACATGTTAAAAGAATATATTTTAATGAAAACTGGCACAATTCTTCATTGATAGAATTAACTAACATATTTCTATTTTTCACAAATCATGCCAACATTACTTGAAAAGTTTTGAGAACCAACAAATGTCTAACTTATTTATTTTTTAACATGCATATACACCAAGTTCAAATAGTGTCTACCACCTTAATTAATTACTGGGCGTGAGGATGGAGATCAAATGCCCCACTACTCCACCACTGCATGGGGCTTAACATATATAGCTGCATTATTATAATAGGAGAACAAATACTCTCAATATCTATGTGATAAAGTGTGTATTACTGACCCAATCACTATAGGATCCATAGGAATTTCTAGTGAAATTTACTCCTATTAGATTTTATCTGATTCCTATAAGAATTCCTACAGGAAATACATGTAGAAGTGACACATGCAAAGTGACACAATTAAACAAGACCGTGCCAACTGGCAAAAATAGACTAAACTTAAGCGAAGCGATTTTGGTGCATCAGCTTCAATAGCCTTAGACATATGGGAAGACAACGTCAAAAAAAGTTAGCATCGGTGAATGTTTCACGTTTTATCCAGTCCAAGTTCATGTATGGTCCGGAAAGAAGAAGCTTTCTACAACACACATAACAAACATTACCGCGGCTGTCAAGGACGATAAACTGGAACAGATACCACTGGCAAACAGTGAGAACAGTACAGAGGTGATGAGCTTCACTGTGAAAGAGTTCCTATCAATACAGCACTTAAACAAATTTCTAAGACGCTCGAAGTGTAATAAGAGCACCCAACAGCGTACTTAAAAATATCGTCAACTTCCACCGATGTAGGGTTATGCGTGCAGACAAATGCTCACATGGAATGGTCGTTAAGGTATACTTTTACTGCATTTATATTCGACCGCCAAAATAGATCATTTAGGTCCGTTTCATACGCTGCATTTAATACTTGCCAACTAGATTGCAAAGGATAGGTGAAGCATATCATCTCATTATACCTAATTGTCTTGTTAATGTGTTCGGCATATGTAAAATACGGCATATAAAAGGTCATTGTTAAAGATACTGATGACAAAGAGTTGACTATAAAAATGGGAGATGAAGTCCTTTCAACCTTGTTAAACATTCCCAATCAGACCTGGTTAGAAGGCAAAAACTAACCTTTTTGCTATATTTATTCTCTTGTACATGATTTTGATGCGAATAGCGAATACAAATAACAAACAACAGAACACTCCCACACTTATATACACATAGTACTGCATAATTTAAACAGTTCATTACCCTCACGCTAAAATTAAGTTCCTTTGGAGCATTCTCCCCTTCCTTGACTTACAAAAGTCAAAGACACACAATATATACATATATAATAAATACAAGAAGCGTTTTCGAAACCTCTAACGTTCGCATTCGAGCGGACAAATCTTTGTTACTGGTCTTGTGAATACTGCTCTCCAATTCGCACTTTCACGACACATATGTGTCCATCTTCTCCTGGATGAATGCTAACAATTCTTCCCAACGCCCAATGTCCTCTAAGTGAGTCAAGGGAAATCACTAAAACTACATCACCCTTTTTGACATCCTTTTGTAGTTGTTGCCACTTTTTCCGTCGATTTAAAGTCGGCAGCCATTCTTTAAGCCATTGGTGCCAGAAATGGCGTACTAACTCCTGTACTCGTCTCCATCTTTTTCTTGCATTGAAATCAGTCTTGTCCACGCTTTCTGGGGCAAATTTTCCTCTGACTTGACCAACTAAGAAATGATTTGGTGTTAATGGAACCTTATCTTTGAGGCTCGCTGATTGATAGGTAAGGGGATGCGAATTGATGAGTGCCCAGCACCTGTAGGCTGATAACAGTTCCTCGTCCAAAATGTCTGCTGATCTAAGTATGGCATAAATCGCTTTCTTTGCAGACTTAACCATTGCTTCAAACACTCCTCCAAAGTGTGGTGTGTGTGGCGGATTGAAATGCCATCTCACCCCTTTATTTGACGTCGATGCTATAATTCTGTTCTTGTCTAGTCGTTCAACCAGCTGACGTTAATTTTCGGCCCCAACGAAATTAGTTCCGTTGTCCGAAATCATCTCCTCGGGTAAGCCTCGCCGATTTACCATTCGATAAAATGCGTTAAGAAATGAATCTGTATCCATAGAAAAGGCCATTTCGAGATGGACTGCTCTGCAGGATAAGCAGGTAAATAGACAAAGGTATCGTTTTTGTCGACATTTTCCTCTTCCTTGTACGGTGTAAAATGGACCAGCATAATCACACCTGTGTAACAAAATGCCTTCATTGAGGTTTTTAATCGAATGTTTGGAAGTGGTGCCATTATTTGAGTTGCTGCCTTGCGTTTCTTCGTCTAAATTCTGAACACTCTTTTTCCCAATCCCGAACTTCTTCACGCCCTGATACAATCCAGAATGGTGAAGAGATATCAGCAAGGGTTTGGTTAGTACCACCAATATGACAGCCTTGCTCATGGTAATACTTTACCAATAATTTGGTAACATAGTGCTTCCTCGGTAGAATGATTGGGAACCGGACGTCGAAAGGTAGAAATTCAGCATATTGTAGTCGTCCGTTCGATCTAATCAGGCCGTTTTTGTGTAGACAGGGGCACAGACCAAGTAGTTTGCTATTCTTTGGCAGTTCCTTTTCACATTGAAGTGCTTGCAGTTCTAATGGAAAGGATTCTCTTTGAGACTTTGCTATAATTGCGTTCTCTACATCTCTGATTTCATCAGAAGTCAACTCTCTGTGAATGGGACCATCAACAGTTCTACAATTGGTTATAAGCCGATTAACCCACCCTCGGACTCGAACCAGTCTTTGCCAGGAAGAAAACAAGGTTGGTTGTAATCGCCAAGATTGAACAGCATTTGCATTTACAGCAGTCATTGTTCTTTCTGTTATTTCTTCGCCTTCAACAGACTCTTCCTGCTTTCTTCTCATTTTCTTTTTGTAATAATTTCTTCTTTCCTCATTTGGGCTTGTCTGCATTTCAATTCGATTGATCGGCCACGTAGATTCATCATGCGCCAAAAAGCTAGGACCGTGCCACCAGAAATTCATGGAAGCTAAGGTAGAGAGTGTTACTCCTCTTGTGAGCAGATCTGTCGGATTTTCTTCGCATGGTATGTAACGCCATTGAGTCGGGTTAGTTAACATTTGAATCTCTCCCACATGATTCGCGACAAATACTTGATACTTTCGACTTGCATTGCGTATCCACCAAAGAACATTCATACTCTCTGACCAGTGGGTGACTTGTTCAGGCTTCACTGTAAGAGTGTTGGTGATGGACGTCGTTAGTCTTGTTCCCAATACAGTGGCCATTAACTCCAGACGAAGGATGCTCATTGCTTTGAGTGGTGCAACTTTTGTTTTCGCAGCTATCAGACGACATGATTGATTGCCACTGACGTAAATAGCTTTTGCATAGACCACGGCACCATACGCTTCTTGGGATGCATCAACAAATGTGTGCAAGGTGATCGAGAGGACCTTTTTGTCCTTTTCTAGCCATATGCATCGTGGTACTTTGATGTCATCCAACTTGTTCAACTGGTTAAGCCAACTTTCTGCTTTTGTAAGTATGTTGCTGTCCACGATCTCATCATCCCACTCGAGTCCTCGCGTCCAAATCTCTTGAAGAATGATCTTAGCCTGAATGAGGAACGACGGTGCAAGAAACCCCATGGGGTCAAAAAGCGAAGCCATTTTCTTTAAAAAATTCCGTTTTATGGGTAGAAGGTCATTCTTAATCGTCTGTCCGTTAAAGGTGAACGAATCTTCATCGAGGTGAACAAGTTTTTACACTTGGCAAGTCGCTTGGTTTCTCTAAGAGTACATTCAACGCTCGTTTCTCTTCTGGGATGTGCTCTAACACTGCTATGGAATTTGACAGCCATTTGTGTGGATACATGTTAGCTTTTTGGTAAAGCTCACTTAACTGATGATATAGTTCGACGCCAAGACCATCTGTCGGTACGGAATCCATGCTGTCATCCATGTACGTCGAATCCTTTACTGTCTTTGCGGCCATTGGATAGTCCTGCTCTAATTCTTTCGCATGTCGCTGGACCAGGTACGTACTGAGCATGAAATGGCGACAAATTGATTCCTAAACAACCCGATTAAACTCGTATTCGTCTGGAGGTTCATCATCATCAATCGAACGCCAAAGGAATCACTGATACTTTCGATCTTTAGGAGCTATTTCTATTCGAAGATACATCTCGGCGATATCACAGATGATAGCAACTGGGTGTTCTCAGAAACGAATGAGGATGTTGAACAAATCTCTTTGTAGCTTCGGACCTTGGTGAATTTCGTCATTCAAGAGACTCCGTTCTCTTTGGTGGATGCATCAAATACAATATGTGTTTTCGTAGTGGGTTTGTCTGGCCGTAGAACTGGGAAGTGAGGTAAATACCAAGCTTTACGTGGTCGTTTTTCTTCTTCTTTAACCTTGCGAATATATCCCTTCTGAATATACTTATGTTTGAATAGACTCCTCCTAATTTGATGTTCTTCTTCCGTTTCTCGGTATTTTGTAGCCTTCGGAGTGCCATGTCATAATTGTCGAAGATCATGGGTTCATCATTCTTCCATGTAATCGCTACTTGATATCTTCCATTCTCATACTTCAGAGACTGTTCGACTTTCTTCAGTGCTAGTTGATCTTCCACTTTCCATGGTCCACTTTCAACCAAAATGACATATATATATATATATATATATATATATATATATATATATATATATATATATATTATATTTTCCCAAAACTTTTGAAGCAGTGAGTCAACTTCATCTAAACCGTTATCACTTCGGGAAAAGTATGTCCGGCTAAAGTTGGTTTGCTGGCGAAACTTGTCGTCTTGCGGGGTTACATGTCCATCCCAGAGGCGTAAGTCGCGCAATTGGCTCGTTAGGCTGACATCGAACATCTTGTACAGATTAGTGAAGATCTGCTGACATCGAACATCTTGTACAGATTAGTGAAGATCTGCGTAGTCAAGACCAATGAGAATATCTACCAGCGGCTTTGACGCAATAACAGGAAACTGAGTCTCCTTAAGATGATTCCACTTGTCAGCGTGGTGACTCCAATTCACCACTTTCATGTCATCGGTTACTTTCTCGGTTGTGTACGCCTCAATTCTGGTGTTGACTTCCCCATCCATACTTTCTAATTCAAACTCCACAGGCATTGTCAGGAAAGTCTCTACTTGCCCATTCAAGACATTGACATTGGTCTTTTGAAAACTACTTTGGAGTCCTAACTCAGCAGCTACGTCTGTGTTAATGTACGTCTTGGTACTGGCATTGTCTAACAGCGCATTAACTTTTTGTCTACGATGTCCATTATCAATATAACTGGAACTGTTTGCATTGCAAAGAACTCTTGTTGTTGGGATGTCTTCGGTTGGACACACATAGTAAGAGATCTTTCAGAGTCTATCACCGTCTCCCCTTCCATGGTAGAAGGAGTTTGAGTGGAGATACTTGCTCGAATTCCCCGATAGGTTGGTGGTTTTGATTCTTCTCGTTGATTACCTTTCATTTTCTTCTCTCCAGTGTACTGATAACCATGTAATAGTCTATTATGGGTCTTCGTACAGCCATCAACGCCACAACACTGACTATTATTACATTCACTGCCCATATGACCTTCGCCCAAACATTGATAACAAAGACGCAACTGTTTTGAAAAGTTCCATCTTTCCGAAATTGACATTTGCTTAAAGTGCATGCATTGCCATAGTGGATGTGGACCATTGCACAAGTTACATTTTAAGACGCTACCTTTATTAAAATAGGTTCGACCACCGTCTCTTTGCTTTAGCCTTCTGGAGTTGCCCAAACTTACACCTTGGCACGTTTCTGATGCTATCATTTAAAATTCAGACTCTTGAGTCACCCACTCTCTAAGCGATAGTACGGATCCTTCTTTCTTCTTCTCAAATGTCCAACGGTGATATTGCAAAATCATGTGTTCGGTCAACTTTTTCTGTAGCTTCAAGTATAAGGACCCGTTGCACAACTTCTCATCTCTGCCAGTTTCTTGCAAGTTGATAACAGCAATATCCAAAAGATCAACAAATTCCTCTAAATCTTTCGAATTCCCCGGTCGAATTGCTTTGAAAGTTTTGAGCTCTTCCAAATACAATGCGACTTGCTGCCGTACCTTCTTTCCAATCTTTCTTTAGCAGCTTCATATGCACGCGCCAAATGGCCCAGTTTCTCCACAGTTCTTAATGCTTCTCCAGATAAGTACTGTCGAAGTTGCGAGAGCTTATACTCTGGGGTTGCTGGTGTTTGGTCGATACACACCGTGAACGTCGCTTTCCAATTCTCATAGTTACGTTTATCACCCGAAAATACTGGTATTGAGACTTGCTTTAGTTGTCTCCACAAATCATTGCCAACCGTGTTATTAGTTTCACCTGTCGTTGTTGAAGCTTTGATTGTCAATTTTGGATACGGCGTGCTTTGCAACTGCTGTTCCAAACGAGTAGGCTCTTCAAATAACAGGGTTTTTTGTTTTTTTTGCCCTAATTGTTCACGAGGGAATTGCTTAGAACTTCTAACATTTTTGTCAATCATGTTCCCCGTGCCTCTCTGCGAACTACAACTCGACGAATCATCCAAGGTATTGTCCAAATACACTTGAACTCGATCTTGAGCCGCTTTAAATTCGGCTTCCAGTGTCTCTACCTCTTCTGTAACTTTTCTTAAGGCTTTTCGGTTCGTTCTGCTCGATCTGTTTGTACCTTTCACATACATTCTCAGATAGTTAAAGGGAAATCTGTCGTTTAGAACTTCATTTTCATGAATGCATGATCCCACCACGAAGCCCAATGTGATATATTACCCGTAGATTCGGGCAAGGTAAATGTCGAAGCAATTGGGTTAGTTCTCGCTCTTTTGCATTGCAGCTGAACGGCGTGGATGAATTTTGAGCTTTTATACAGTGTCTTTTCTTGCAAACTTTTTGCATCTACATATTGTTGTTTGTCTAACAACTTCTGAAATATTTTATCGCCACATTGAGCCATAGGCATCTCTAATTTCTTTTCCAAACTGCTCATGTATATGTTCTAAATCCTCAAATCATTCTGTCTTTTGTATCTGGATTCTTCATTTCAGCATGTTTAAAAGATCTTTCTTCAAGCTGATCCGCAGCCACTTGTTCCGCTTGTATTAAACTCCTTCACTGTTTCCCAATTGATCTTCAAATGCAATTGTCTTATCTTGAGCATTTTGCCATGTTGTTTTCTTGTCTAAATCAGGAGTCTTTGACTTTGTGATCTACTCGTACCACAAATTGTCACTTGTATTGGTACCATCTTTGGCAACATGCCGCTTTTGTACATGTAATAGACAAGCTATACCATTCTAGTTCATTTCTCACATCAGCTATGGCCATTGCATATATAACTTGGTAAAGATCTTGCTTGGCTTCACTCATCGATGACATACTTGTCCAGATCAACTTCAAAAACTGCTTTCTTGTTTTATTGTGCAACCATTTCCTGCTACCATAGAAAACTTTATTAAGGCAACTGCCCTTCATTCTCCTCAAACAAATACTTAAGTCTAAAACCTAAATTACATTAAATCAAGCATGCATATATTATTTTTTTTGTTTTTTAAAGTTATTTAAAAAAGGGTTCATTTAATAACTATTAATTTGAAATATAATTAGCAGATTCTATTGTAATGTTAGTCTCTTGGGCGGTTTAACTGGTCAACCATACAAGAAGATGTTACAAGCTTTATATCATACTGCAATATCATACTCTTTTAATGACTAAAATTGAGTGCTTGAAGTCCCCAAATTTAAAGGCTACGTAAAGCATTTGATGAATGACAATGATAACAAAATTGGACAAAAGATTATGTACTAGGAGTTACTATCGCAAGGAAATTGCTGCATTGGGAAAAAACTATATATTAGCTTGAAAAACTTTATTTACAAGTGATATCAGTGATTAAGTCTGAATAGATAGATAAACTTACAACAAACTTACTACTTACACTTATTTGATGAAGTCTGAAATATTTACATCCTAATAGTTACAAGCAATTAATACTGATAATAACTTTTTAATAAGGCATTAATAGTAACAAACACTATGTATGCAATACAGTGCCATACATAAGTGTTTGTTATTGATTAATTGGGGGGGGGGGTTACATTATGTTTTCTCAACTGGTATATTATTTACTTGAAGAAGATTTACATGCTTTTAAAATAAAAGTAAGATCAATTTATGTTAACAGAAGAACAGGAAATGTCAACATAATAGTACAAAATGTCAAATGCACTTTCAAATTTAAATGTCAATTTCAGCAGCACAGTAACATGTGCCATGAATAGTTATTTAATGTTACATGTCAATAGCATATATAAAAGGGTAAACTTTTAACAAAAAAAAACAAAACTAGAACATCTCTAATATGATAATGGGGACTGTCAACTGTGATGTCAAATGCATTTTTAAACATCAATTTTAGCAATATTAATCAAGCCATTGAGTCGTACGTTATCTTGGATTGACACCAGGGATTGACAGAAGTGCATTGGGCAAGTCATCTAGAGAAAACATCTGAAAGACAAATCTTGGGGAACTATGTCTACCAAGGCTTTTACATTGTCAAGCCAAGACAGTTTCATTACACTGTTGTTTGCTTATATACTCCCTCATATT